CTGGCCGGCCAGCTGACGGTGTCATAGAACTGCGAGCAAGGCATGCCCGAGTCGGCCTTACCCGCTCTTCAGTGTGTGGCCTTGCAAGCGTTCTTTTCCGACAGCAGTCGTGAGGTTTCCTACACGAGGAGAATGCATGTGGCGCACCCATGTTAGACCACCCTCCTCTCTACAGAACAACGCTACTGTCCTGATGCTCGAATGGACTTGTACTGTGATGGTGCCATCTAGAGAGATCTTCAGAGTTGCGGAACACTAAAGTGTATGGCCACCGTGTGTGCTGGGTTGCGAACCTTTGGTTTGTGGAGAAGGCACAGGGAGCTGAGAATGCCGACTTTCACCATCGCCCCCAGCACCACCAAGCATCATGTATTCTTGCGATGATGAAGGCTCTTGTGACTTGTCGTGTTGCTCGTAGCTGCTGTGGTCCTGGTGGATGCTGTATTGCTGGTGGCTGTTGTGGTGGTGGTTGCCCAGGTTGGTCGACTCGAATGGTAGGATGACTCCGTTCTTGAAAGTTGATGCAGACTGAGGTGGAACGTACCATGGCCCTGATACCTCATACACCACTGCAGCTAGGCGCACCCGCACCCTCGACACGGTGGCGTGAGTACTGCATAGCGATCTTTAGCTAGAACGATTAACGATGAGAATTGAATCACTTCCAAAATTCCTCTGCGCTATCAACTCCCTACAGATGGTATCACTCACGGTTGACAACAAGGACTTACTCCAGGGGACATAGCTCGGAGGTTGTAAGGATACTCTATCTAGTTCAGGCGAAGGTTCATCGGCGACCTTCCATAGCGACTAGTGTTGAGTTAGCGATCGGACTCGTGTTTCTTTGCTACGACGAAGCTCTCCTTAGTATCCGGCATCAGAGTCGGTAGGGGTAGAGTCGACTGTTAGTGAAGGACACTTGATCCGTGTGAAGTTATTGTCACCGGACCCCCACGTATGGGCAAGAACAAGACGTTGGAAGTCAAGAATTTCAAGAAGACGGAGCGAGCGGCTGTGGCAAGTGGAAAGGAAATCAAGCGCAACAAGAACGTTTTAAAGCGAAAGGAGTCGAGTCAAGTTGAAAAAGTCATTCTTAACTAATTTCACCAACCGGATTGTGAAAACCTCGAGCTGTCCGAAGGATCGAAGAAAAAAAGAAACGAAGTCGCCTGATTGGTTTGATAATTTTGAAGTAATCAACCAATTTCGCAAAAATGCAGGAAATCATTTCGCAATTATTTGCTCGACCAACAACAACAAGACATTGCGTCCCTCCTACTACAACAACAAGCGACCCAGGCACAACTTGCGGAGACGCAAAGTCAACTTGCTGCGAATCAACGTTTGATGCAGCAGCAACCCCTACCGGTTGCGCATCAGCGCGATCCGGAACGAAGAGTGGAAGGATTGTCCATGCCGTCGTATCATGGAAATCTTAATGAAAGTATTGGATTGTATATCCACCGTGTTCGAACGTTCTTTACGGCGAAGAGCCTGGTCTATGCGAACGACTCTGAAATCGAGACGCGCTGCCTTGCGATGGTTGTGGCAAACCTCAAAGGGCAAGCGGCGGCTTGGTATCAAGAGTTGGCTTCCCGTGAAGGAGGCAGTAAAATCACAACATTTGTAGAGTTCGAAGAAGCACTCCGTGAAGAGTTTGAACCTGATGACCTACAAGAGCGGTTGCGCGATAAGCTCTTTGGGTTGCATCAGAGAACCTGCAAGGACATTATGATGTATGTCGAGCAGTTCCGTCGCTTGTGCACGGATATCAAGCAAATGTCCGAGTTGGACAAAGTGACGTTCTTTATCGGCGGTCTGAAGTTGAAGACTCGCGAGGAAGATAAGTATCGGCAATGCAAGACTCTGACTGCAGCGATGAAAGTGGCATTGGAGTACGAAAGAGCACACGCAGAGTCTTTGGGCATAAGTGTTCAAGGGAAGCGGAACCGTTGGAGTCGTTTCGAGGAAGAACACAGCAGATCGTTACCGAAACGACGCGAATTACAGGAGTCTATCGACATGGAGGTCGACAACTTGAACGTGCGAGAAACGTCTAAGAGGAAGGACCGTAGTAAAATTCGTTGCTACAACTGCCAGAAGCTGGGGCACTACTCATCCGAGTGCCAGAAGCCCAAAACGATGATCTCAAGTCAGGAGCCACACACTCGTCAAGTGAACTTGGAATTCCACGAGGAATCGACGACTAATGACGATTTGGAAAATATCTCCCTTGGAAATTTTAAGACTGCAGACGGCAAAGCACAGGCTGAGGCTCAGTGCAAAACGATCCGAGCAGCGGATCAACGGTTCATGATAAAGCCAGGAGTAATGAATGGCAATGCCGTGAATGTCATGATCGACAGTGGCGCAACTACCTCACTCTGCCGCGTTGGCATGGGGTCATGTGTTGTGCGTGAGAAGACCGTTCGAATTGCGGGGTATGACAATGTGGTCTCGGACCCGACCCGAACGCGCGAAGTTAAATAGACGCTGACAATGGACTACATGCGGTTCGACAATGTCACGATGATAGAATGGGACCTGAAGGACAAGGAATTTGATGTCAGCCATGGTTTCGCCAGTACAACTCGGTAATAACTTGGTGAGATCAAGTGATCACTTCGGTGGAAGAAGAAGTGGAAGCGAATGCTCTGATCACGAAGGACTGTGAAGGATGGATTCTTAAGCTGTTTCGCGTGGAGGTGCAAGTTCAGTCGACGCCTGCAGAAATCGAAGTAGTGTTGGACGAGTTCAAGGATGTTTTTCCCAAGGAACTGCCGGAAGGGTAGCCACCAGAGCGCTCGGTGCAGTATGACCTGGCTTTGAAGCCCGGTGCGAAGCCGCAGAACCGTGCTCCATTCCGACTGGCGAAAGTCGAACGAGAGCGCTCGACAAGTTCGTGGGGATGGGTTGAGTTGTCTACGAGTGATTGGGTTTCAAACAATGTTTGGTGTGCCCAAGAAAGACGAGAAGGGGAAAATGCCCTCACGTCAAGTGTGGCTGAAGACGGCTACAGCAAACACACCAATCCGCTGGGTTCTTGACTACCGTCATGTCAACTCACAGTCAGAAATTCCCAAGATCCCATTACCAAACATCGAGGATCTCTTCAATAAGATGCATGGCTGCAGTGTCTTTACAAAGATCGACCTTGCCTCTGGGTACCATCAAATGCTGGTTGAACCACATGCACGCAAGTATACTGCCTTTCGGACGCACAAAGAGATATTGCAATGGTGCGTAGCTCCCATGGGAATGGCGGGAATGCCAGGGATATGGTCGAGACTTATGCGGTTGCTGTTCGACAAATTCTCCATTGTGGTTGTCTACTTGGACGACATTTGCATCTACTCAACGAGTGTCGATCAACATGCGATACATCTGCGTGCTGTTCTTGACTTTTTGCGATCGGAAAAGCTTTACGCCCGTCGAGAGAAGAGTGCCTTTGCAGTGCCGAAGGTTGACTTCTTGGGACACACGATCTCGGCTGACGGACTCGAAGTTGACGCCAACAAGGTGCGCGCCATTGAGAAGTGGGCGGCACCTACAACTCGGAAAGAGCTGTTGAGCTTTCTTGGAATGGTTGGGTACTATCGCAAATTTTTGCAAATTACGCGAACTTGGTCCTACCGATCAATGATCTTGCCAAGGAATCCGTGCCCTGGAAGTGGACGGATCTAGAAGAGAAAGCATTTCTCACGGTGAAAGCTGCTTTGCAACAAGCTCCTGTACTTCAGGTGCCAGACTTCGACAAGCCGTTTATGATCACGACGGATGCGTCTGGGTATTGCTGCGGAGCGGTCCTCTCACAGTTGGATACCAAGGGCAATGATCGACCGATTGCCTTCTTGTCGAAGAAGTTCGGGGATACTGAGTGCAACTGACCATCGCATGAAAAAGAATTGTACGCCATCAAGCTGGCTCTGACAAAGTGGCGGCCTTACGTATACGGCTCGCACTTTGACGTCTTTACAGACGATTCGACTTGTCACTGGGTTCTGAAAACACCCGTGTTAACCGCGAAGCTATCAAGATGGTTGGAATTCTTCGGTTCGTTTGACTTCACTCTCCACCATCGCCCCGGCAAAACGAATGTGGTGGACGACGCGTTTTCGCGTCCTCCGCGGGCAAGTGTACAAGTTGCTACTTGTGCAGTTAACAATTGTGATGAGCACTGTCGTGCAAGATACGTTGCTGTGCGTCAGTGGAGCGAAAATGTGTTGTCGTTCAAGCGCATTGACCTGCGTACACTTATGTTGATGACCGACTCGCCTTCTCGGGGGGAGGAAGTGCAAATAAACAATCTCGAAGTCGAAGTACCACAACAACACATCATCAACCATTCCGAAGAACTATCGTATAGCACCGTCAAAATGGACGAGAAGTTGAAACAAAGGTTTTCCAAGCCTACGCCAAGACCAAGGAATTCGAAGATGCGACTAAGTTTCTAAAAATGGATGAACTCTACTTCGTGAAGTCGAAAGACCAAATTTGGAAGTTGTGTGTTCCCAAAGACGACTTTCTAAAAGGCGAAATCATTTCGCAAAGCCATGACACGAGCACTACAGCGCACCCTGGAGTTCGGCGCACGCAGTTGCATGTAGCTCAATGGTACTACTGGAACCGAATGGACAAAGATGTCAAGTTGTACGTCGCAACTTGCGAAACCTGTGCACGCTATAAGTCGAGTAGTGCCAAAGCCAATGGTCGAATGATCCCAATCAAGTCTCCTGACGAATGCTGGCATACAGTTTCCATCGACTGGATTACAGGTCTCCCTGTTTCCAATGGAAAAGATGCAATCATGACTTGTGTCGACAAGACATCGAAACGGCCAAAGTACTGCGCCACGACGTCGAACGTTGATGCACACCAAGCTACTACTGGAACCGAATGGACAAAGATGTCAAGTTGTACGTCGCAACTTGCGAAACCTGTGCACGCTATAAGTCGAGTAGTGCCAAAGCCAATGGTCGAATGATCCCAATCAAGTCTCCTGACGAATGCTGGCATACAGTTTCCATCGACTGGATTACAGGTCTCCCTGTTTCCAATGGAAAAGATGCAATCATGACTTGTGTCGACAAGACATCGAAACGGCCAAAGTACTGCGCCACGACGTCGAACGTTGATGCACACCAAGCTACTACTGGAACCGAATGGACAAAGATGTCAAGTTGTACGTCGCAACTTGCGAAACCTGTGCACGCTATAAGTCGAGTAGTGCCAAAGCCAATGGTCGAATG